TGATCAAGACTAAGAATCATTCAAAACTAGAAAAGCACTCGGAGAGCGCAGACCTCCGCCAAGGACTACCCCCATTTTTTATATAAATTGCGATAAAATCAGTCTTCTGGATCAGATCCGGATCAGCCTTTGGAATATGGAAGAGGATCCCATTGTCCATCCCTGAGTCAAATTTCATGGGGTTTGGTCAATAATTAACCGAGATATTGAGAAACAAAATTTTTGGCCCCATTTACCACAATGTTAACTAAAATTTCAAAGTGATCCAGAATCCAGGATTTCTTCCGGATCACCCCCAAAATGAAATCAGTTCTTCCTTTTCACATTTCCAACAAATCCTGAAAATTTCATCAAAATCGGTCCATAACTTTTTGAGTTATGTTGCTAACAGACAAACAAACAGACAAACGCCGGCAAAAACATAACCTCCTTGGCGGAGGTAAATATATATACACTACTGGTCAAAGGTTTTATAACATCATACTTTTTCCAGTTTTTTTAAATATTGTTTACTGTTTACTGTTGACCAAAACATATTCAAAACTTTGGATTCATGAAAGTGTCCATGTGCTGGAGTAGACCCTTCAGCCGTGTGGGGAGGCCAGGGGGCTGCACACGCGCACACACACATACACCCACACCAATGTCCGTTTGCTGCAATCCCCGAGGTTCCCACACATTTCCACTGCAACAGTCATGGGCGCACACTTGATTGTTGCACATACATTCCCTTCTCCATAACCATACTCCAGTTTTTAAATCGTCCTCCATGTCCACCGCCCCTCAGACCCTCCATGTCCATTGGCCAACCCGAGCTTCAGACACTTCCGCGTTATATTGCGTCACGTAGGGCGTGCAAGTGTGACATCACCAAGAACGTCAGATGACTTTTAGTTTATGTAATTCAATAATATATATATATATATATATATATATATATATATATATATATATATATATATATATATATTTTTTTTTTTTTGTCTGTGTTTAAAGGTTATTATTCGGATATTTTTGTTTCTGGTAATGTTTATGATTTTTTTGTATTAAAAGGGGGATCAAATTATTTCTATTAGTAGAGAAAAAGCAGTTTTTGTTGGCTAATTGATTTTGGGGGAGGAGTCTTGTACTATAAAAGGGGACTCCCATCTGCACAGAGGTAGTGTGTGTTTGAGGAGGAGAGCTGTGTGCACCGCACGCACCACATATAACAGCTGAACACACTCGTGGCTCGTTCTTTTTACAATAGAAATCAAATCTTCAGAAAGTTCATGTTTGTAAGTCTGTTGCAGAAGTTCCCATAAATGTGTGGCACTTGTAGGTTGCTTCACTCTTCTGTCCAGTTCATCCCAAACCAGCTCGATGGGGTTTAAGTCTGGAGACTGTGCTGGACACTCCAGGTTTTCAAGTTTAACATCTTGTTCTTTTTTCCTGAGGTAGTTTTGGCAGAGCTTGGACTTGTGTTTTGTATCTTTTATCTTTTTTTTTTTTACCTCTATCTGTTCAGTTCTTACCTTTGTACCATTTCAAGCTCTTCATTGGACTTCCACAACTTGAATTGCAATAAATAACTGAAAAAAAAAAAAGTGGGTGTTCTAAAACTTTCAACCAGTAGTGTATTTCCGAAGTTTTAAGGGGCCATCACAAATGAATTCAGTGCCAGAGCCATATTTTGGACACCCCTGGTTTGAAAGTTTTAAGTTCATTTGAAACAGTTCTCAGCAGTCCAAATCTGGATTATGTATGTGCACTGTTAGCATCCTAATAATTCACCAGGAAGAGTCAGAAGTGCTTTTGACATGACACATTTGACAGAATTACAGCCCCTTTAAACAAACTGTTCTTTGGTCGTGTATCTCCACAGAAATAAAACAGGACACTTGACGGAGAGGTAGTTACAGCCTATTTCTTTTTCTTTTACGTTGTCACTTTTCATCAGTTGGAGGATTGACGTATTTTGCAGCGGCGGTCACTTCTGTATGGATAAGGCCGGTCCTCTGTGACGCCGCTAACCTCTCACGCACTAAACCAACAGCGCGCATGCTAACGGCATCTCTGCACCTCTGATTTTGGCAGGATTGGGTCTGGGCTCAGAATAGCTGGTGCGAGAGTGAATGTGGCTTTTCAGAATGCCTCATGCACCACACGTGATCGCCGAATAAAACTGTACGACCATGGAGACTACTGACCCAAAATAACCCGCTTAGGATGGTATTTCTTGTATCATTTCTTTTTCCACCTGGAGGATTCCCATGTATTTGAGCAAAATGTGTCTTTACAGATTAGTAGTAATAGTACTAGTAGTATTAGTAACAGTAGTAATAGTAGTGATATTAGTAGTAATAGTAACAGTAGTAGTAATAGTACAGTATAGTATATAGTATATATTGTTATATTATATTGTTATATTTTTTTATAGTGTTCTCACTGATACCGGTCTAATACCAGTCCGATACCACATAGTGTGAAGAAGTAAACTAAGGTTAGTTAATTTTCTTACAGTACAAGAGCAATAAATAAATCTACTAAAAGCCTATGTCTAAAGAAAATCTACAGAATAAATTAGATTTGGAGAATTAAGTGTTTCTGATCTGGCCAAGGTTTGATGTGGGGAAGCTGATCTGATGTGGTCAGAGTAGGAGGCAGAGAACAACAACAAAAAGTGTCTTTGACCAGACAAAATTTATTTTGAAACAGACTTCTAGACGAAATAAAGTACAGAAAATAAGTAACTCAAATCATAAGCACCAAACAATCTGCACAGAAGTCTCTCCCTAATTGCCAACATCGGCTTTGCTTTATACCCCGCCCAGCAGGAAGTACCTCCCCCATGTGACTTTCCAGGTCACTTTCAAAACAAAGCGAGGATTTCTTTTCCTGGGCCTAAGTGCCCTTTCAAAATTAAAATGTTTAACATAAACTAATGTGAATTTAAAATGGGACAAAAATGGGACAAAGGCCCACTTATTAAGGTTATTCATCTTTAGATCTTCAGATTTATCATCTACATACTAGTTCTGAGATGGCTTCATTCTAGTCTAGAGGCAGTTTATTTTAAGATAATTTGTCATTTTAAGTAAAACGATCTTGCTGCATGGACAGATCATTTCAGTACTTTTAAATCATTTTCTGATAGGTTTAAGTGTGGCCAAGCTTTTTTGTAGTGCAAATATATAATTATTTTGACCATGAGTACCCAGAATATCAGAACAAGCCTAATTATTATTAGGCTGTTATTATTATTATTATTATTATTATTATTATTATTATTATTATTATTATTATTATTATTATGCTTTAAATAGTCTTGTTATAGTTTTGTTGCACTTAAATTAACACAACACTTATTTTCAGTCTGAATATATTTCTTTCAAAAATAGTGATTCATCCATGAAGTTACAGTTGTGCCAGGATTCACTCATGTGATCCTGATGATGCGCGAATTCAGATGGGAGCAGGAAGTGCTTCAAAATACAGCACGATGGGTAACAGCCAGTATTTGAGTAAAAGTTTGAACAGGCCTGCACAGACCAGCTATTGTGAAAAAATTAGTCTAAATATAGGTTATGACCTGTACAATATGGAGAAGTTGGACTTTTCATACAATTTGGAGGATTTTCCCGGCATTGAGGCGATGGATATAATAAATGATCTGGTGCTGCAGAGCTCTTATTACACTGAGCCAAATGAAAGCTTTTGAAAGCCCGGAGGTGTACAGCAGTTTTGTGTCTGGTTGTGTCTAAAAAGGTATAAAAAAGATTATGCAATAAGCTAATAAAATGAGCACCACATAAAGCTTTTTGCCTGACAAGTTAGACCAGACATGTCAAACTCAGGCCCGGGGGCCATATTTGGCCCGCAATATAAGTATATTTGGCCCGTGAGATCATATCAAATATGCATTAGAGCTGGCTGCCGGCTACAATTAGACTATAGAGACAAAATTGTGGTAACACTTTGGGGAATGGGGAGTTAGACATTAATAACGGCTGAACAAATACTAACGAATGACAAATAAACCTACATAAACTTACAACTATGCTAATTAGCAGGTAGTTAGTGTTAATAAGTGCACCCTAAAATAAAGTGTTACCAAAATTTTATTATTTTATATTATGTTTGTCCTGGATTCATTGTTTAAGCAAAACTATTATTAAACATTTATTTTAATAAGAAAAGCTTTAACATTACATATCTCAAAAGAAGAGAAAACATGCAGATGTTTAGTTTGGCCCACGACTTAGTCCCAGTTTTTAATTTTGGCTCTCTGTGAATTTGAGTTTGACTCCCCCTGAGTTAGAACCTATAATGCCACAATTTACCCGTCACTTACGATGATGCTTGTCTTTCTAAAAAATTGTCCAGAAAAACATTTGAAAAAATTAATAAATGACACAATCTTTACCTGTTACAAAGTGGTCGCTGCAAACTCGAGCATTGTCCGTTTCTGCGCCTCCTGTTTTTAACCGGAGATTGTCGATTCACTTTTGTCGTCATTTTTGTACGTTTTTTTAAAACTAACTCTTATGACACACCACTTTTGGTACATGAAAACAAAAGTGTGTCTTTCTCACGATTAGAGCGGTTACAGGAATCAAAGACTGCACAGAATTTAGGCATTTTGGTGCCGAGTCAATGGAGGTAAATGGGATTCTGTGACGCCAACGTGCAGCAATACAGACTCTTTTTTTTTTTTAATTGTTTCTCCTTTTAGATTTTTATTTATTTGTATCCCCATCTTTTCCTTGTATTAATGAACATATTTTATTTACTCATTGGTTTGTTTATTTAATTTTTTTTTTTTACATTTATAGAGACAGTGGCAGGAGAGGGTTGGTTCGGTGTTAGGGAGAAAAATTCTACATTGCTTCTCCGTGTCGTCTGTGTCAACTATACAGATTCTTGCCCTCCATTTGACATTCTAAATAAAACCTTCTAGAGTATTCTGAACACACTCTTTTGCCGTCATCTGAACCCCCCTCCTCTCTCTCTGCCTCCAGGTCCTGATGCTGTGCGATGGCGTCTCGGACTCCTTCCTCCGGACACGTCTTCCCGCTCTGTCCTCCATGTCCCCTGGCGGAGGACACGAGCGCAGCCAGGGCCTATGTGTGCCAGGACTCCACCTGCTCCCTGCCCCTGACGGACCCCCAGGAGCTCCGGAACCTTCTCCTGGACGGGCCCCTCCTCCAGGAAACATGAATGAACTGACAATGAGCCCAGATACACAGATTTTTACATGTTCTTATTTTTCGCGCCAACCAGCCGACTATTACCTCAGAAGCATGAAAGAACACATATTATGCAAAATGTAAAGCTGCACTGTGTAACTTTTTGGTTAGAGGTCAGTCACCTGCTTGTTTCTATGGATACGTCATTGCTTTGCCTGGAATGTTCCACAGTGTGACATTAAACAGCTCTACTTTACATTTATTCAATTACATTTGGTTTTATCGATCAAAAATACCTCGAAAAACAGACATTCTGACTGTGAGCGGGGTCGCCTCTGCACAGATCTGACCTGTTACTTGGTCTGCTCTGGTCTCCATGAAGATAGAAAGGTTTAATGTCATACTGTGAAACATTCAAGGCAAAGCAAAAGGAGAAATTCAATTCATTAACTGGACAAAAGTTTACTTAGGTCGAATACGTTTTGCAGCTCGTCAAAGTAGACCCCCACACTCAGTGCAAGTTTAATAGGCTCTATTCACTCTTACATCACAAACCAGGAAGACGTTTGGAAAGATGCGATTATAACTTTTAGTGTAGGTACCGACAATGGGCTCGCCTAACATTTATTTATTTAAACCGACTGTGATCAAACCCACTGAAGTAAATGTGATGGGCAGTAAAGTGAAGACTGCATACGTATGTGCTGTTTGGAATCATCTTTGATTTGGCCCCTCATCTCTTCTAATCTCATGTACCCGGTTTGCTCGGAGTTCTGCGTCAGTGGGGAAATGATGAGAACTGAGGTGTGGTTGTAAATGTTGATTAGCTGAACCTAACAGAATGCTACATTGACATGGAGATGAAGAAAAATGGGCCTGGGAAGTTGTAATGGCATCTTTCCAAACGCCTTCCTGCCTTGCAAACTAACAGAAACTGTGAACAAGTTGGTGTGTTAGTTTCAGTGTAGTTAGTTACCACATTTTCCGGACTATAAATCGCTCCGGAGTATAAAAGTCGCACCAGCCAAAAAATGCGCAATGAAGAAGAAAAAAACATATATAAGTCGCACTTTTTGGGGAAATGTATTTGGTAAAATCAGAGCCCAAGAACCGACATTTCATCTTGAAAGTCAAGTTCTAATAATAACAGTACACAGAACAACAGGCTGAATAGGCGTTAATATGTTAACATAACATATTAACAGTTATTCAGATAATTATAGCATAAACAGCAGAACACAAGTTTAACAAACTCTCGATCTCACTCCAAATCACTAAATCCATTGAATTCTTCATCCTCGGTGTCACTTCTGCGCGACCTCCGGAGGTAAACCATAGATCCATGAGGTAAAGGGAGCGCCGCTTCCTCTTCTGTGTAGCTGTCGTCAGACTCAGAATCAGATCCATTTAGAATTATTCTGGTCTTTCTGAATCCCGACAGGAGGGTTTCGATTGTCATTGAAGTTCAGGCTTTGTTGATCCATCCAATGACTTCAAGGAAAGTTGCATGGTGCACCCTCCCAGTTGCCTTGAAGCTGTGTTCTCCAGCCTCGCTTTCCACCAGTCCCTCACAAGTTTCTTGCTCACTCCAAACTTTCTTTCTGCTGCTCGATTACCGTTTTCAGCTGAATATTTAGTGCGAAGTGACAGTGGTACAGGAGTAGTAGGAGCAGCAGATACTCACATAGGAGCCTAGAGCGCCCTCTGAAGTCTGTCAGTCTGTAAATTTTAATATATAAGTTGCACCGGAGTGTAAGTTGCAAGGAAACAACCAAACCATGAATAAAAGTGTGACTTATAGTCCGAAAAATCAGGTAGTTAGTTGGCTCCTCCCTTCAGGCAGATATAAGGCAATGTCCACCAGCGTTTGACCACAACTGAAGAAACAGCTGCCAAACATATTCGACTAAAATAAACTTTTGTCCAGTTGACAAATTGAATTTCTCCTTTTGCCATGAATTCTACTTGGACAACTGAGGGACTGTACACATATTCCAGTCAAAGTAATGACGGAATGTATCACGGAGTAAGCATTTGATGGACGCTTAACCAGAAAAGTTACACAATGCACCTTTAAGTCATGTTGTAATGCTGTTATGTCCTCAAAAACTCAGAGTTGTGTTTTGTTTCATTCACATGTTTGAGTAACCTTTTTATTATTAGTCTATAAACTGGGACGAGGGTGCTTTTTATGCTCACACACTTGGGATACTGTCCTGAGGAGGTTGGACTGCGGATGCTGCTGTCGTTCTGCCTCCACCAATAGGAAGACAGTGCTAAAACTTGTATAAATCAGCTGACCGGAGATGGTATAGCAACATCACGTAACCACTCTGAAGAAGACCGCAGTTAGCAGGTATGAAAACAAACTCTTTGTCGGAAAAAAGAACCTAATAACATCTGTAACGTCTGTCTACATCTACAAAGCTCAAAATGCTTAGTTCCACCTTGTAATGTCATGAAGAGATAGTTTTCGAGTTAACATTTTATCTTTTGTTCAGTAGAGATTTTTAATACCAGGGCAGAAATGATCCAAATGATTCTAGTGAAGATGTATGGAGTTTAAAACGGTGGAGCACTTCCTGTATTACCACATGACATCACAAGGTGGAACTGAGCGTTTTTAGCTTGATAACTCGATCTTAATCTGCAGGGTTTGTGTGTTAAACATGTGAATAAAACAAAACACAACTCCAGGTCTGTTTGTGATGAGGAAACTACATTAGAACATAGATCAGAAAACGGTCTAATAAAGTATTCCTATTGGTGCTATGTGGAGTTGCCTCATATTATGCAAATCTGATCTATGTTATCATGTTTATGGGTTGTGGTTTTATTCATGCATGAGATTTGTAAACAGTTTTGCTCTCTAAATCTTAAGACACCCTCTAAAAACTCCTCTGTGTTTTAAAAAGGGGGCGTTATGCAAAATGACCTTGTTTTTAGCTTTCTACAGTGTTGTAACGTTGAACAAAAACACGCCTGACGAGGTTTTAGACGTCATCCATGCTCGTTTGAGTCATTTAGTGATCTCTCCCAGGCGTCCCGAGAGTCTCTCCAATGCTCCCGTCTACTACAGACCTACGTCAGCCACACTCCCACTTGACAATTCTCCAGAAATATACAAAAACATGTACGCAGAAAAGTCAGTGTACCATTTGTTCTTTTGAATTTTGATTAAGAACGAAAAACAATAAAATGGGAAAGCAGTTTGTTATTTCATTATTCCGTTTTTGTCTCCATTTTAGTCTCTATTTCCAATTTAAAGTTTATTTCAGATATCACCCATCAAAAAACTGTCTTGGTGCCTGTTTTAATTTTGATATTTATCTCTCTGGTTTATTTGCCCTGAAAGTTCTGCTGCTAGAAGGATTTACCTGAAAAATCTTTGCAGTTCTGTGGACAAACGTGACTTTAATTTCATGACGAGAAACAGGAAGCAGTTCGGATGTAAGGATATCCAAATCTCTCGGAACGATATTATCACGATATGCATGTCACAGTACGATATTTATTGCGATATTTTGAAGAGGCGAATATAAAATTGTAGATAGGACACGTTTCTGCTTTAAAAATACCTTGACAAGATTTTGGTGTGAATTATTTCCATCATAATCCCAAGAATTCAAGTCAAAAACATATTTCTTCATGTTGTCTGCACTTAAAAGAATCATGGGATATGTAGTTCCCTATATTCATAATTTACTACTATAGAACCATGCATTTAAGCAAAGGAACTTGTAATTCGATATATTGTGACAGCCCATGATATTATTGTGAGACTTTTGACGATACGATATCACGATATTTCGGTTATTGTTACACCTCTAGGAAGCAGTGATAAACTGTCTCAACTTTGTTCAGCTGATATTGAATTTACATGTGTCACTCTAAGCAGTTAGCCTGATTCATCAGCCGGTTTCACTATGTGGAAGCCGTCTGACCTCGCAGCATTAGGATTCGTTCACTCGACAGTAGATGGGTACTTTTTTATTTAACCAATCGCTGCTATTTGGTCGTGACATATGTAATGCGCCGCTAACGGGGCTAACTTGTATATTAAGCTTTTTCCAAATCCGGTTGGAAGAAGGGTAATAACTTCTTTCCTCTTGATAAAATTCACCAAACATTCTCTTTGTTCCGGCTTTAAATCCTCGATCTTGTGAATCGTTGACAACACAGAATGTATCTTCGCTGATTGGCTGGTGCCTGAACTCGCACTTCCGAGGTTCTTGCAAACCCTCCAGTGTATTTGTGAGGGTTTCATCCTGTTCCTCCTACCCCTCCTTTCCCTGCTCCCTCTTCCCTTCTCTCCTTACCTTGTTTGGCGTTTCCTGGGCGGGTCCCCAGTTACACACCTGCTGAGCTCCACTCCTGCTCCTCATCAAGCAATCATTGCCTGCCATAAAAGACCTGCTGACCTGCTCTCCAGTGTTAGATCGTTCAGTCATTCTGTGGTGAACTACTCAGGCTTTTTTGTTTTTTGAGAATTCTGAGGATTTTTTGATACTTACCGGTTTCTTTTCGTCCTATCCCCAGCACTTCCGTTTGGAGCCAGCCTCATCCCGTTGCCACCTGTTCCGTAAGCCTCTGGTCAACCTCAATCACCACGTGCCTCCCATTCGCACCCAACCTGGACCTGTCCTGCCTCCCCTGGAACCTATCCCCCCTCCAAGATTATTTTTGTTAATAAAATACCTTTTTCTTTCTGCATATTTGGGTCCGACCAGTAATTCCTAACAGATTTCTAATTCTGGCTCAAGCCTGACTACTAAGCAGCAGAACTTATGAGGCAAATAAACCAGAGAGAATAAAATATCCAAATTAAAATAGACACGATGACTGTTTTATGATTGGTGTTGTTTATTTTAAATATCAGAGCTTGAGGTCAAAATTTCTATTTTTGTTTAACACTGAAACAGAATAATGAAAGAACTGTTTTTCCTTCTTAATTGAAATTCAAAGGAAAGAATGGTACACGCGTCCAACAACTTCACAAACTTCACAGGCTCGTTTCATTACCAGAGTGACTTCCAGTAGCCCTGTCATTTTCAAAACATTAAAAGTAACACGGTGATCTAAATATTTTATGTGTTAGCAGTTAATACCCTGTAGAAGTAAAATAACTCCTCTTTAAAGCCTCGTCCTTTTCAATGTCCACCACAGTTATCAGCTACTGCTTTTAGCCTGATTTAAGCTGGGCTCTGTACGTTTGCCGGTGGAGGCTCCGTCACCTGCTGCCTCATGTTGATATTATTGCTTTTCCTGAAATGTTCCACTTTTAAAAGCACATTGTGTCACTTTTCTGGTGGAGCATCTCTCAAAAGCTTTTCTCTATGAAGGTGTTTTTGGTTGTTTGTTGTCTGGAATGTTTCACAGTATGGCATTTAACTTTTCTATCTTTATGCAGACCGCTCCAGACCAAGTTACAAGTCAGATCTGTGGAGAGGCGACTCCGCTCACAGTCAGAATATCTGTTTTTTGAGGTATTTTTGAGCTATAAAACCACTTGTAACTGAATTGAACTGAATAAACTCGAGCTGTTTAATGTCACACTGTGGAACATTCCAGACAGAGTAATGACGTATCCATAGAAACAAGCAGGTGACGGACCCCGAGCCTTTAAACTGATATAATTCAATTAGAGTTTTTACTGGGAATAAAAAAATGCATTGGCAAGCGCACTAAAAAAAGCCGTTGAGTCACTTGCTCGTCTCCGTGGAGATGAGTGTTTTTATGCCAGGCTGTGGGACGTTCCAGGCAAAACAACATCACGTCTGTGGGGAAAAGAGGGTTTACAGGATTTGATCTGAGCGTTTCTTGAGGATGGGACCAGATCTCGTGCTACTGCATCATGGGAGACAAATTTACCACGAGGCTGCGCACGCATGAGAAAAATGATCTGTGACATTTTTTCGTCTTCATCTTCAAAACCAAATTGGATTTATGGCTCGTGTTTTACATTTATCTAGAGATTTTCAGTATTTACTTATAATGTCCTGTTTTTCCACATGGTTTTATTTGCATATCTAAAAATGCAAAACTTATAATAAAGAAATAAGACAATACTTTTTCTCTTTTCAAATTTGTGTTGTGTTTTTTCCGCATTTTGCACATCTCAAATGTCACTTTGGTGTAGCAGAAATAAAGTGATCGAATAGAAGATATTGACAAGCTATCATCTGTAAGTACATATCTGTATTATTAATGTATATATTTGTATTATATTTGTGTTCTCACCAGTGATGGAACAGTAAAAACTGGAGGGTTAAAATGTCAGGGTAAAATATTTCCAAGTTGTTTTTAACACAAAAAGTTATTTATTTTAACTATTTGGAAGTTTAATGGGGGTTTGAGTTGTTTTGCCAGAGCTGATATGGTTTAAGTTAATTCAACTTCCCTTAGTGTTAATTTGGCACCTCCCACCCACCACTTCACTCCCGTGAGAGAAGACCAGTTTGAACCAGTTTTGTACAGAATTTCATCTTAAATAAACTAAAATAAAGTGTAAAAATAAAACACCTCTGTGTATTGTTTAGCTTAATCAGAATAACTCTACAAAGTGTTATGTGTTTACTCTCAAAACGTTAATATAACTCTTGATTTTGGAGTTAAACAGGAACTTTGGTCCAGCATTAACATTTCCAAAAATGTTAAATTAACTCTAGAACAGATTGAACTCATAAACTCTGCAGGGTTCCCGCAGTCATGGCAATCCTGGAAAAGTCATGGACTTTTGTGAATTCAATTAAAGTTTTGGAAAAGCCATGCAATTTTAGACTCTTTCACACAACTACAGTGTTCTGTTGAGTTCTCATGAGGCTATTATGATTGTTTCTGAACCTCTGCACCTTTTGTTTAAAAGAGACGACAATAAATGCACTGACAGGATTTTGAATGTTAAATTTTTTTAATCCCAAACCATAAGGTGAGTGGAAAGAGTTAACATTTCATGTTTATTTATTATCAAGGGGAAAGATGTTATTGTCCTCCTTCCTACGGGATTTTACTTTTTTTTTACATTACATACGTCACGACCAAATAGCAGCGATCGGTTAGATAAAGTACCCATCTACTGTCGAGCAAACAAATCCTAATGCTGCGAGGTCGGACGATTTCCAAGAAGTGAAACCAGCTGATGAATCAGGCATGTAAATATGTGGATATGAGTTTTCACTAAAATTGTCAAATAAATGAACAGTAGACAAAGATATTACAACATTTTATACAGCCGTTTAATACAAAATGGAGAGCGCGTGCCCACTTTCAGTAAAGTTACGTAGTGTATCTTAAAAAAAAAAAGTTTGTTTGGGTCCAATATGAGAGCTGAATGTTCAGAACACCCACATTTGCAGGTTATCCATATGTCTGGGTTGATTACTTAGCCTGAAATGTTCCACAATATGACATTAAACTAATCTATCTTCATGGAGACACAAAGGTGATACACTAAACATTTTTTCAAGATTTATTTTTATTTATTTATTTTTTTTTACAGTAACAACATCTATAATGAGAGTTGGGGAGTAGTTTAGTTCCATTTACTTAAGGAACCTTTTAATGAAATAGTACTTTTCAGAGTACTTTTCTAGCACTATACTTTGACTCCTACTTGAATAAGATGTTTTTTGAAGTAAGAGTATTCTAACTTTAGTAAAAGTTTGGGTTCCTCTTCCCACTGTGAGTAAATGTGACTTTTGAGTTTTATGTTTTGAAATCTCTGCCTCCTCTGAGTGCAGAACAATCCAGGCAAAACAATAACATTAAACAAGAAAAGTTACACAGTGTGGCTTTAACCAGCACCGTGTTGTACCTCCTGCCTCCCTTCATCCTCCAGAACACTGCGGTCTTGTGTGAAACCGATTTGCCAGAGGTTTTGCCGAGAGTAAAGAGAATTGGTGAGAGAGGAGGCGTCACTCTGTCCCACTTTCCACATCACATCCTGCTCCTCACAAACTGTCACTTTGGGAGAATGCTTTTTGGCACTTTGGGGCTTCCTTACATGTAACCCACGCTCACACGTCTCGCTGTGTGTCTCGGCCCATCAGCTTCTACCACCTTCTTCTCATCGCACGCTTCAGAGAGACGGAGTGACGGTGTAAAAATATGTGACACTGCAGTGTACACAAATATTATAGCAGACAGAACAGCAGAGGTTATTTCAGCATTTTATTGGCTAAAACTACATTTACAGTAAAATTACATACTAAATTAAAAGTAATCAC